TAGATTTAACTAATTTAACTATAGTGAGGTTCTTAAGAAATTCTGATTCATTTATATTTTAATTGCAGAAGTAAATATTTTTCTCACAAAACTAACCAGAAATTTTTTATTTTTCCTGCTATTATTACTATCAGAGATAAATTGATCCACATTTTAAACATTTGTGATCAAAAAAATGAAAGGAGTTGTGAGCGAAATGTGTGAAGCCAATTTACAAACAGATATTGTTCAACCCGAGATAGAACCTCATCATAGTTTTACTCATAAAGACCATGATGAAAAAAGGCGAATGATTTGTGCTTAAAAAGTTATTGTTCAATTTTTGGGTGATATTAATTATTATATTTATCAAATAATACCCAAATATGTGCGAAAACTAATATGATATTTAGGTCAACTTGTTAATTTTTGCAAAGTTCACCTATTAATATCATAAATCAGATGTTTTCTATTTTTATTGAAATTTTTATACCTTTTATTGCAAAAAAATGTAAGAATTTAAAAAAGTTATGATTCGTATTAATTTTTAATTTTAAGATACACACTGCACCTTTATTTTTGTTTTGTTTTAGATTCTCTTGGGTATGGAGATTTTTGGAATGTGCATAAATGTCTTTCTTAATCAGGGTGAGTTTCAAAGCCTACCTGTATTGAAGCTGGAGGCTTTATTGTACCTGAAATAGGCATTACAACTATTATTCTAGATTAAAATAGATGGGGAAAGGCCTTAAAGGGACAATAAGTATAAGAATATTAGAATGATTTGTCCTTGGATTAATTAAGGGATATTTAAAAAATTAAAACAATTGTGTTTTATAAATTAACTACTTTGACTTTTTATAAAAACTATATCCAGTTTTTTGAATAACAAAAACATTGTCATGTGCTATGCTGGTTATCATATTATATTTTTATTTTTCAGTAATTTAGTGTGTGATATAGTGCTTGTTATGTTCAGAATATGCAGTTAGAAGATAATGAGACACATGTAATTCTAAATAAATTAAACTTGTTAAAAATGTGTTTTATTTTTCACCTAATTTTTTTTTCAGTTAAAACAAGTTATATTTTCCATTTTTCAACATTTACCTACAACAAAATTCACTAAACTTATTGTTTGTTTAGTAGTTGTAAGTAAAAGTTGTCAAATAGGAAAATGTTACTTCAAATTGCTTCAAATATCTAAATTATCAAGCCCGCGAACTTTTAAATCGCTTTACTTAGTAGTGTTCTACTTTATCGACTGAAACTGACAGGTGTAGTTCAACCGTAAGCGCTTAGCGCGCTACTGTCGTGGTCAAGCAAACTTGTTACCAACTATCTACATGGAATCCGACCCCCGTGGTTATAACTCATAGTTATAACACAGCTTAACAATACAGCTAAAACACTCTCTTGGCGGCAACGGTTTGCGTCGATTTCGTCGCGCATCGCTTAAGCTTCGCCTTCGAAGGGAAAAGACGGTTTTGGTGTTCAGAAACGTACTTAGGTAAGGTGTTGAGTCGTGCGTATAATTTCGTTGATTGTATAATTTCGTGGAGCCTATAATTTCGTTGATTGTATAATTTCGTGGAGCCTATAATTTCGTTGATTTTGTTTGAGTTAAAGGTACTGTTATTATTTTGGTGACTCTTTAGCTATGAGTAGAATGAGTGAAAAAAAAAGACATCATTCTGTTTGTGCAGTCAAAAGCTGTTTTAATAAGGGTTATACCTGCAAGAAAACATTCTTTAGTTTTCCCAAGGACCCAAACCGATAAGTACCACATTATAAGAAATTTTCATTGTTAAAAATATAATTTATACAGGGTATCCCATTAGTGCGTTATTGTTCATTATTTTGTTGTAGACACGCAAGAAAGTTTTAAATAAAAGTTATATGGATTTGAAAAATACCTACATATTTTAAAAATATCTTTGGATATACAGGGTGTCACGTTTTTGTCTGGCAAATTAAAATGTATGTTTTTTAAATGGAACACCTTGTATTTTATTTTATGATAAAATTATTAACACCCTAAATTATTGTAAAGACGAATTGATACAGAAAAATTTTATCAGGTATGTGTGTGGTTACCTTTTAATAAAAGCCTTGCGGATCCACTCCTCTGCGATACCTGTCTTAAATATAACAAAGATCACGTTGAATTAGATGATTTTTATTTTTATTGCTTTTTAAAGGCATATGATAACGCCAATCCAGATACATTTGGAAATCTGCAACTGTCAAATGATTTGTAGAACTAATATTCAATATTGAAAAGATATTTCAAAATAATTTTGAAGAATTGGCTACAAAAAATAACATTTGTACCACACTTTTAGAATTAATTAACCCAATACCCTTTAGTCATCCATGCTAACGTTTTCCAAAAGAATAACTTATTTTACTGTATGTTTAATCTCAATAACTAAAAAATATACTGACAATTAGTTTGACAGAATTGTCATTTATTTAAAATTTTAAAAATAATAGCAGTCGGTTGATCAAAATATGAACGGTGATTGGCGAATTTATTTTTTTTGCAGTGTTCTCACTACCTAGAATGGATATGAAATATATTCGTTCAATTAAAGGCAATAGCATACTTTTTCGTTTTGTAATCTGTGCATGGATATTAGCCAATCTATGCACATACTACAAAACGAAAAAGTATGTTATTGCGTTCAACTACGAATATATTTCATATCCATTTTAGGTAGTGAGAACACTTTAACAAAATTAAATCTACAAATCACAGTTCATATTTTGGTCACCCAACTCCTATTATTTAAATTTTTTTAAATAAGTGACAATTCTGTTAAACTAATTGTCAATACATATTTTAGTTATTGATATTAAATATACATTAAAATTTTTGTGTAGACTCGATAAATAATAGCATTTTTGCGCGAAGAGTAACACTTGCCAGAGACACGGGGTACCACTTGATTTGCATCCACGAGCGTGACACAATTCTTTAACAATTGAAGCCCTTGGTGTAAAAAAGATCCAAGCCACAATTTGTCGTGAAGTGACTGTTTTAGCTCAAAACATTTGTTAACGAGGATTTTACTAGCCACATACAAATTATTTTACCTCTAATCCGAAAGATGTGCTATTTTTCGTAATATTTATATTTAAATAATGTTTCTAATTATATTTGACAGATTTAAAACAAATTAAAAATTTAATTTCCCAAAACTTACTTAATATGGCATGTAACCAACCTTATTACGCCAAGGTTTTCAATTTTTTCAATAATAAAAAAATTGTTTAATCCGGGCCCGACTTTTCCCTCGAATCTAACAGAGATAGCACCATTCCGTCTTGCTTGGTTCTCGACCGCCAGATCAAAGACGCCGACACGGAGTTGTGGAGCTGTATATTGTATAAGCTGTGGTTATAACATAGCAACATTTTCTTGAAAAATAAACTCTATTTCAAAACTGCAATCGACCGATGCCAACGCGACGGTTCGAAATATTCCTAAACAAACCTTTTAGGTATTATCTAAATGGCCTATTTACAATGGTATTGGATTTACGATATTGATTGTTTTCTCTTTTATGTACTAGTTTATACCATGTCGGCCAATTATTTAATATGGGATAAATATAAATATTCTCTGTAAACTCGATAAAAAACGAAAACGAGAAATTATTTAAATATTTTGCTTGATAAGTATAAGGTTGCAAATTTACCAGATTGTTAAGAAAAATAAATTTAACATTTGCAATCAATTTTCAAAACCTATGCATTTTTTTTTTGACAAAATTAGAGGAAAATAAAAAATTATTTTGATATTTTTACAAAAAAAAAAAAAATAAATAAAATGATATAAACAAACGGTCTTTCAAAAAAGTTGAAAATCTAATATAAAGTTGAAAATATTACAATATATATTTCTTTAAGTTTGCAGCACTTTTGCAATTTTTTTTTTAACATTATAAACAAAAGCGCCATTTTGGTATAAATTAACTAGCTCCGGACCTTGGAAATGGTTGCAAATTTAAACTTAGTATTATTTAAACTAGCCGATTATTTTTGCAAAGTTTGAAAACTTTTGTAATTAATGTGAAATATTCAAAATAGGATGTCTTTACTGACTCGCCTATATAATAAACTAAAAGAACAATCATTAATTTTTATACGTTGTATGATTTTCTTTAAATATTTTTTTACATTTTTGTTTTGTTTTTATAATATTTGTAAACAATGTATTATTTTCTATTATTGGATAATCATGTTTAAAATAAATGCATTACTATTATTTATATATCATTACTAGCTGCGAAACCCGGCGTTGCACGGGTTAAAATATACACCGCATGTTTAATGGTGTAAAAAATACATGAATACACATTTTTAATGTAGATATTATAGATTCCTATCTTAGATATTAAAACTTATTCGACCATTAAACTTACGGTATATAGAGTATTCTGGATCGTTTCAGAATGATAATAACCAATATTATTAATTTCGGAACTTTCTAGATCATTCCAGAAATTTTTAGAATTTTCTGGAACGTTCCAGAATGATAATTAATAGAAATTTCTATTTAATAGAATATTTAGATGCACATCACTTACATTTAGCTCTTTTAGACCGATTATCATAATACTCATACACATTTCGGACCTTTCTTGATCATTATAGAATTTTTATGAACTTTCTGGAACGTTCCAGAATGATAATAACCGATTTTACACTATTTTGAACTTTCTAGATCATTCCAGAAATTTTTAGAATTTTCTGGAATGTTCCAGAATGATAATAACGGATAATATTAATTTCGGAACTTTCTAGATCATTCTAGAAATTTTCAGAACTTTCCCGAAGTTCTAATGAGTTAGAAAAGGACAGATATATATCTTATCACATCTTTGCCTCCCACAACCACCCATTTCCACCCACCGCGCCCAAACTCCCTTACTTCCTTCTAGGACCCAAGGGGTGTTTACCACCCCAATAGTGATGTTGTTGGAGTTGGTGGTGATAAAGAAAACCGGTCACACACATATTCTACGCTAGCATTTTATATATATATTAAGATTAAGATTTGAAAAACATGAAACATGGTAATTATCTACAAAAAAATTAAAAAAATACATCTTTTACTAAAATTTTAGGGTAGTTGTAGCGGCAGTGGTTGTAGCTGGTTCTTCAACGAAAACTTGAACTCTGTATTTCAAAGTTTCGAAAAGAAATGGATTGATGTCGATTTCGACTACGTTACTTCCAACACCTCCACTTTTGATATTGGGATCGTTGTGGCCGTCTTTTAGGTCAGTAATCTAAAAAAAAATATAACACAAATTTTATTATGTTGTTTGTGTGGTTTGCGGAATTTAGCATAATACATATAATTTTAGAAATCAGGCTACCTAAACAAACTAAAAATTCGCCTATTCGAGAAAAATACGCAAAAATACTTCAATTTAAAGTAATGCCCATATAACATTGTCAAAAATAAACAATAAATCAGCAAGCAGTAAGGATAATTTTTTAAACAGGAATTAAATTATGTTACTTTAACAGGGGGATTTTAACCTTTTTGGTTAAATTATCTCCCGATTCCAGGGTTTTCTGTGAAGTGGTTCGGGCACTTAAATTAATATTTTTAATTAAACAAGAGGGTTGTCTCTCTACAGTATTTTATTATCTGCAGTAAATGGATGGAGTTTGTTGTTTATAAAATATTTACAATGGGATGAAGTTATGTTACAATTATTGTTAGAGAATAATATATTATTTACAATAAAGTCAAGCCCCGGTCTTCTGTGTGGTATGCATACTATACGTGAAGATTCACAACTAATCTTTTGGGCCATACAAAGTAAGTAAACCTATATTATATTTAAAAGCCAGTTATTAATTTAGATAGCAAATCTATAAGTTTTATATGGATTTTATATATTTTGTAGGTTATTGAAGACTACCTCCTATTTAATAAAAAGAACAATCCTAGTTTTCTCTAAGCATTATGGACTATGGTTATGAGTACGAAAAATATGTGAAAATAAATAATAAAGTGGTATATCTTGTATTGCTACTACTTAGCTGCGTTCCAGTAGACTTCGGAGACTCAGGATTTCCTCAAAAGTGCATTCACTGCTTCTTAGCCTAGTGATGTCAGCCTCTGTTGGATGTACGTAACCTGTACCTACTCAGGAATATTCGTGAGGATTTCTTCGAATCCAAAGATGAATTAAGAGGGTGAATAACGATTGGAAAAACAAGACAATCTGATGTGATACGATAAGGTAAGTTATTACACGATAACTTAAGAAAAGAAAAGAGAAGAGACCTTGGCGTGGCGTGAGGCCTCCAAGTGGCTTCGATAAAGTCGAAGTTTTTTTAAATTTGAAATCTAAGAATAATTATGAAAATTATATCCACAGTGATGTGATATTTACTAGTTTTCGTAAATATTGAAATATTCACTAATATATTCTAAATTTATGTAAAAATCCGCAATAATGCGAGCACGTTCTTCACGAACCAAAATGTGCGTTCTAAAAAAAAAGCTTTCCAAAAAAAGTTCCTTTTTTTGTTATTGATTTTAGCCGGTCTTGTTAGTATAGGGGTAAGACTATAGAAAAGATCTGGTTGTAGGTTTACCTGAGAAGTTTTAGTTTGCTAATTGACAATTTTTATGTATGAGAAGAAAAGAAGAATCATTGAACTTTGAACCTTTGAAATTCTAAAGGTTATTTTATTGTTATTAATTTATTCAGGGTTTAATATTTATTTTTTATTTTTCAGGAAAGTCACTATAAGAAGATAGAAAAGACCCTTTTAGTGAACTAAGAAGAATTATGATGGGAGTAGAACATTTGAAATAAATTGTTATACATTGTACTAAAAGGATATTCCGAATAAAGTTAATACTTTTACTTTGCCTTCATTTATTTTGTGTCAGCTTATTGGAAAACAGGTAAATTTACTATTTCTTTTAAATTATGCCCAGAAAAGATATTCAAATTTAAATTAATTAACTTTTTACAATTAACCCGTAACAATTACGACCAAGGCAATAAAGAAGTCTATGAATTACTCCAAAAGAATTTAAATTAGGTCACGATTGGTCCGAAATATTTATGTAAAATTTATAAAACATTGTAGAGGGGTATGCTTGAGCGTCACAAACAAAAAAATACAGTAACAAATATTCAGCGTAATTCTGTGAAATCTGCATGAAGCTTCCACTTACCAAAAGAGACCACAGGGAGAGGGCCGTGTGGACCATGCCCATTTGAGATTATTTTGTTTTATTTTAAGTTACCCTTTTATTTTTTTTGCTTTTGTAAAATAGTCAGGCCAAGGAAAACTTTTTCCTTGGTACTGCATGCTAAGCGACGCTGTACGGTATGTAGCCTCAACCAACAGTAGGTGTGGTCCGCTTCTTTAAATAATTCAACTACCTGTAGAAAGGCAAATCCCACCCTTTTTACAGACCCACACTACCAACTATATCGTGTATCGATATTCCTTTCCTGTTCTTGAATACGATAATCCCCGAAGAGTAAACCTCTTCACATTGAATACAAAAATCACCTGGCAGAAGGATAAAAATGCAAAAAACCCAATAAAATGGAAAACAAAAATGAAAAGAAAATTTTAAAGCCGTAATCGGAGAACGTCGAATGACGAGATCCGCGGCTGGCAGCGGGCATAGGGGTAAGGCGTCCCAGGTCGTTATCATGCGAACTCCACCCCGCAACAATGTAGAAAACGAAGCGGATCACCATATAAATTCTGAAAGCTAGCAACCAGACACACTTTACTATGTCTCTCGCACGGACGACACAGCGATATCAGCCACGAGCACACAGCCAGGACTCATTTCAAGATATCTACAAGACGCAGAGGAAAACATAGAAGAATGGTGCATTAGATGGAAGATAAAGATCAACGCAGAGAAGACACAGGCTGTGCTGTTCAAGAAGAGACATCACCCCCCAGGAGAAGAAGTAACGATGAATGGATAGGACATCCCATGGACCGATTCAGCCAGGTACCTAGGAGTAATTATGGACAAAGGACACACCTTCACTAAAAACGTGGACATGGTAGCCAAGAAAACAAAGCAAGCAAGATCAAGACTAAACTGCCTAATAGGACGTAAAAGCAAATTATTATTATTACAGACTAAAATGAGGATCATACAGACTGTCATTATATCTATCCTCATGTACGCATCGACGGCATGGGGATACACCTGTAGAACAAACAGAAAGAAGATTCAAACCCAGCAGAACATCAGCTTGAGATGGGCCTCAAATGCATATAGATACACTAGAAACGACGTAATCAGGAGGGATCTAGAATCCAAAAGGGTCCTAGACCTCATACACGAGAAGGCCACGGACACCCTCGAAAAACTAAGGACTCGCCCGAATATAGAGATTAGAGAACTCACAGAGTATGAAAGAGCGGACTATAGAAGACAAGCCAGACCACGCAAGCTGCTGGACTATGGCGGCGAGTGACCGAACCTTGGGTGCAAAATTCAAGAGACTCATAGATTTAATATTTTCTTTCAGCGTTCTCTTTCAGCATTCTCTTTCAGAATACCCGACAGAGCGCATCACGCGAATCAGACAAGAACTGAGCAACTGACGACTAACCACCTAGGGGAGAAGGTGCCTCCAGTCGCCAAGTAGGAGACTGAGGGAGCTTTCACAGGTGGCGACTTTCACAGAACGACACACACATGACAAACAAACGAACGACGAAACAGGGAAATGCCCTCAGCAAACCCTGTCTAAATGCTGATAATATGTCATCTTTTACAGCCCTTTAAAAAGGAATGGCATACCAATCATAGGATGGAAAATTGAGGCTCCCTGTAGCGAAGTTTATCAGGGTGGTCGTCAGGAGGGTTCCGATCCAGTTTAACAGGATGGGAACCTTCTCGACTTGGGCTCAATTACTGTGTCTGTGCAGGCACACTTGTTAATAGGATTGCTGATAAAGAACTAGATGTCACCAAGAATCGTCAAATAAAATGGAGCAGAGAAACATTTCTGCTATTTAATGACTGTAGAGACGAACCGCTTCCAGGCTGAAGACAAAAATTATATCGTGACATTATTAAGCTGTACCAAAACTTAGAATGATCTAAACAAAATGCGGCCGATAGACTGCGTGCTATATACTCTAGAAAACTTCTATCAGTATTAGATATAGATGAACTACGCCGTGGTAATCAAATATATAGCCAGCAAACTAACAGAAAAAAGCGTCCAAACTAACATACATGAAGAACCATCAGTAACAGAACATTAAGAGCAAGTCCACAAAATCAATAAAACATTTGAAGAACATTTGAAGAACAAGTAAATAATATATTAAACTGTAAATTCTCAAACGACAAGAATTTACAAAGAATAAATACAGGCATCTACACGGCAGCTATTCCAGTTATAGAACTAAACGGACAAATCACATATATACCCAAACCCAAATTAAACCAAAAATCTACTTCAGAAATACTTAGAAGCCAAGTTGATACAATAATACCAAGGAAAAAGAATGAATAGAGCTCCGAGATGAACTGCATCAAAAGTAAAAGAAGCTCGATTAAGAAGATACAACACCACCACTAAGAGAAAGGAACAAAACCGAAATTTTCAGACAAATCAAAAATTATTTTACCGCACACTAGAACAAAAAATTAAAAATAAGTAAAACACAACAATAAACAACGAGGCATTTTGAGAGTATTGGAGCAAAATATTTTTAACCCTAACCAACCCCAACCAAAACAAAAAGTGGTTAAAACGAGTGAAAAAAAGAAATGGAAAACGTACCCAAAATGGCCAGACTATACATAAGAGAAACTGATATCAAGGCATCACTAAATAATCTTTCAAACTGGAAAACCCCTGGTCTGGATCAAATCCACAATTTTTGGCTTAAAGCATTTCCTTGATTACCACCAATATTAACACATACTGGAAGATCCCACACAGGTGCCTACTTATCTTACAAAAGGCAACACCTATCTTAATGTATAAACTGCTAACATCGATATTATATTTCAAAATCTACGAGCGTTGGAAATACTATTCCATAATAGCTCCAGAACAAAAAGAATGCATAGTGGACAGCTTAGGCTGTAAAGAACAAATTCTACTGGACTCCATAATATCCAATCAAGCAAGGGTTAAAAAACGCAATATAAGTGTGTGGTATATTGATTATGCCAAAGTCTTTTATTCTGTGCCTCACGATTGGCTTGAAAAAACCTTGAAAATATATAAAATTGACCCTAACATCCAATTATTAC